TTGTGGCAGAGGGAACTCCCCCCCCCCCCCCCCCCCCCCCCCCCCCCCCCCCCCCCCACCACACACACACACACACACACACTGTCAGGCTCTCATGAGGAGCATCACCAGAGGCATGCATGGGTGGGGCAAGCTTCAGCCAGCTACACCACAGACAGGAGGAGATAGGCAGGGCCAAGTACACACAGTGAGAAACAGACAGACACACACAGACGGTTCATTATAACTCGCTGTTTGAACAGGTGTCTGGCTGACAAGAGACAGTGTTGTGTGTGTGAGAGTGAGATGAGTCAGTGAGACATCACTCTACACCTAAAGCTGTGAAAGCCGATTCTTTCTAAAGCTGCTTGTCTAAAACATCACTGTCTTAGCTAACCAGAGGCCACCATGCTTTGGGCTACTCTATACCTCGCTCTGTTCAAATGATTAAGACAACGTGAACAAATCAGTAATTTAGCAGATACTAGAGTGATTAACAGTACAACAACTTCATCAAGACGGTGAAACCATGATCATCACAAGTACAGTGGCTCAACCTTATCGCCACATTCCTCAATCAATTAATCAATAACTTTACTGTCCTGGTTGAGAAAGGTTCTCCTACAACAGGGTGATCAAATTAAGATCCTACATCTGTACACAAAAAGGGAGCAAATACCTGAGACACAAGTCTAGTTCCTACAGACAGACAGACAGATCTCATTGGTGGCATGCATCAGACCCTTGTAGTAAATTATCCTCCTGGCCTGGACAAATACACACACTAAAGAACCTAACAAGGTGAAATACTGGGAGAGATCACTTTTAAATGCTAACAGATTTATTTTCTTATCAGCAGGCTATCCAGCAAGTACTACAAACCTTCTGCATTCCCCTGCCATTTGCTTTACTATGACAACGGAGATATATACTGTAGATGACACAAACTGCTGTTTAAGCTTTTGATTTATTTTTCTTTCTTTTTTGCTAAGAGAGGAAAGGTGTGTGTGAGTGTGTATGAAAACAGACAATGCAAACAGGTGTACCAGCATCTGTGGGCAGCTTGAAGGAGTCTACTGCTCTGTTTATTGATCTGACAGATTATAGTCAGAGATTATTAAAACTGATTAGCTCCATTCATCATCCACACCCACAGTGTCATGGTTAAAGCCCCTAATCAATCAACCAATCAATAAATTAATTTATGTGATTGATAATACACAACAGAATAGAACAATGTTACACCCCTAGATTTGGGGAGAGGAAGTTAATAGATCTACACTATATATACGAAAGTATGTGGACACCCCTTCAAATTAGTGGATTCTGCTATTTCAGCCAAACCCGTTGCTGACAGGTGTATAAAATCGAGCACACAGCCATGCAATCTCCAAATACAAACATTGGCTGTAGAATGGCCTGTACTGAAGAGCTCAATAAACTCAGTGACTATCAACTTGGCACCGTCATAGGATGCCACCTTTCAGTTCGTCTGTCCTCGGATGCAACACTCACTACCGAGTTACAAACTGCCTCTGGAAGCTACGTCAGCACAAAAACTGTTCGTCGGGAGCTTCATGAAATGGGTTTCCATGGCCGAGCAGCTGCACACAAGCCTAAGTTCACCATGTGCAATGCCAAGCGTCGGTTGGAGTGGTGTAAAGCTCGCCACCATTGGACTCTGGAGCAGTGGAAACACGTTCTCTGGAGTGATGAATCACGCTTCATCACGTGGCAGTCCGACTGACAAATCTGGGTTTGGCGGATATCAGGAGAACGCTACCTTCCCGAATGCATAGTGCCAACTGTAAAGTTTGGTGAAGGAAGAATAATGGTCTGGGGCTGTTTTTGATGGTTTGGGCTAGGCCCCTTAGTTCCAGTGAAGGGAAATCTTAACGTTACAGCATACAATGACATTCTAAACAATTCTGTGCTTCCAACTTTGTGGCAACAGTTTAGGGAAGGCCCTTTCCTGTTTCAGCATGACAATACCCCCATGCACAAAGCGAGGTCCATACAGAAATGGTTTTTCAAGATTGGTGTGGAAGAACTTGACTGACCTGCACAGAACCCTGACCTTAACCCCATCGAACGCCTTTGGGATGAATTGGAACGCTGACTGCGAGCCAGGCCTAATCGCCCAACATCAGTGCCTGACTTCACTAATGCTCTTGTGGCTGAATGGAAGCAAGTCCCTGCAGCAATGTTACATCTAGTGGTAAGCCTTCCCAGAAGAGTGGAGGCTGTTATAGCAGCAAAGGATTTTACTGAGTTACAGTTGATATAAGGAAATCAGTCCATTGAAATACATTCGTTAGGCCCTATTCTATGGATTTCATATAACTGGGCAGGGGTGCAGCCATTGGTGGGCCTTGGAGGGCATAGGCCCACCCACTCGGGATCCAGGCCCAGCCAATCAGAATGAGTTTTTCCCCATAAAAGGGCTTTATTACAGACAGAAATACTCCTCAGCACCCTACCCCCCTCAGACGATCCCGCAGGTGAAGAAGTCGGATGTGGAGGTCCTGGGCTGGCGTGGATACACGTGGTCTGCGGTTGTGAGGCTGGTTGGACGTACTGCCAAATTCTCTAAAATGGCGTTGGAGGCGTTTTATAGTAGAGTAATGAACATTCAATTATCTAGTAACAGCTCTGGTGGACATTCCCTGCAGTCAGCATGCCAATTGCACGCTCCCCCAAAACTTGAGACATCTGTGGCATTGTGTTGTGTGACAAAACTGCACATTTTAAAGTGGCCTTTTATTGTCCCCAGCACAAGGTGCACATGAGTGATGATCATGCTGTTTAATCAGCTTCTTGATATGTCACACCTTTCAGGTGGATGGATTATCTTGGCAAAGGAGAAATGCTCACTAGCAGGGATGTAAACACATTTGTGCACCACATTTGAGAGAAATAAGCTTTTTTTTATGGAACATTTCTTGGATTTTTTATTTCAGCTCATGAAACATGGGATCAACACTTTACATGTTGCGTTTATATTTCAGTTCAGTGTAGTTTACCCAATAGCAGTTTTTCATTTTTACATGAAGTGCGTAATGTTGGTAATAATTTTAAGAGCAGAACGGCATGGTTGGGAGGAGAACGTCAATTTCCAAAAGTTGTAATCAGTCAAAACCATTTGTTTTTTTAGACAGGAGTGTGTCGTATTCATGGTCATAGCCAATGTTAAAAGATTACAAGCTCAAAACATTTTTCAACAAAAATGACAATTATGTCAACCGTGGCTATTTCCATGACAATTAATCGTTACCCCAAATTCCATAATCATCCCTAAACATGAAGATTGTGTGTAAACATAAATGTTTTATGTAAACCATGCATTGATGCCAATAGGCGATTCCCATGAAATTCCATGATGTAAACATGGTTCTGGAGTTTGGATTTGGCTGTTAATGCATGGGAATCCATATTGTGTGTGTGCCTGTCGGTCTGTGCTTTAGCCAACATGTCTAAACCTTCATGTGTAGTTGTTAATACAGGGACAGTCAGTCAGGCAGCCAGCCAGTCTAGGTAAAACAAGGGTGTGAATGTAAACTGACAGAACATTGAAGTGTGTGTAGGTTATCCCATCCAAGAATTTGATCTAATCAAAACAAAAATACAAAATGAGATCTGGGCAAACATCAACACCCCCCCTGCTCTCCTTACATCACAGCCAATCAGAAGGCAGGATGGAGTTTAACTTCCAATGAAATGGCGATTCTTTCTATAAGCCAATCATGTCGCTTTGGGTCTAGAGTAGTGATGTCAGCCAACTAAGGTTAGTACTTTGTGTTCAGGAATCAATACAAAAATACCTCTCAATAGTTCCTCAGAATAGAGCTAATGTACTTTACAAATTACTGGCAGCAATAAATTAAGTCTATTCCAACATTTTACATAAAATCTGATCCGATTAAAAAATGTGTGATCATTTAAATTCACATATATAGTATGCAACCATTTTGAGAGAAATTCCTGATTTCAAACCTTGAGGAGAGGACTCCCTTTGTGTCTCTACCAGTTCTGAAGCGAGAAGGTAGAAGTTGCTCCTAACCATTGGTCTAGGATTAGATATTCTTTCACCCCCTCAACAGTTAAGATAAGAATTGAGAAACTACAAACTGATCCTAGATCTGGGGTTAAGGCCAACCTGTACCTGAAGCCTATAAACTATTGCATGGGTTTACAAAGCAACACTAATGCCCCCTAAAGGCTGACTGTCACTCACACCTCATCATATTCTATTACTCCAGCTTTATTGGGAGGGTCACAGTGGCCCCTGGTGGGGCTTACAGTGAACAACATTCTCATTCACATACAGTTAACGCAAGAATCAACTTTACAGGTACTCCGCAATATAACATCATCATACAAAGCTGGGAGACTTCCCGCTTACACACATCAACAATAACAGAATCCAAATCTACTGCGTCTTTTCAATCTGCGCCTCAATAAGGGAATTCTGTTAATTTCTATAAGCAGGAATTGGCCCCGGTGTGTAGGATGATGTTATACTGCTGAGTCTACCTTTAACACGGACAGTTAGGACAGCGGTTGTCAAATTCATCACAACAATACCTATGAAAGCGATTGGACATTCGTTAGCAAAATATTTCACAACAAATCTCGCTGGAGACTAGCAAAACAGAATCAACTATTTTTCTGGTTGACATTTATGTCCGTTATAAGGGTATGCCTTGATAACGTAGTGTCAATACATGACGTATTCACTTTCATAGCAAATTGTACATTTTCAGTTGCAAACAGTTTAGCAGGATGTTATTAGTTGAACCACATCTGGAAGACTCTCTCATTGGCTGTCTGAACAGGGGTAAATAAGAGGTGGGTATTGGTTGGTTTATGTGCGTATCGATTCTTCCTCTCCTTTCTCCCTCGCTCTGAACACCTGCATGCTCCGAAGGGCAAAGGAAGGAGGTTGATAGAGCGAAAACAGAAGAATGGCAAAGAGAGATGGATGAAAGAAAATAGGATTTTTCTTTATTTTTCCTTCTCTACTTCTCTCCCTCCCTCCGCTGCGCTATCCTCTTCTCGTGCTGGTGCTTGGTGATTCCGTACTTGAAGAACTCATAGACAGACCAGCTGATGGCTGTGGAGGGCATCTGATAGATCACCCTGGCCTGGACTCCTTTAAAGAACCCAGGCAGGCCGCCCAGCCTGTACACTGTCCGGAAGGCATGGGCCAGGCCTGTGATGTGTCTGTGTGTCCCCTGTGCCTGACCTCCACCCTGGCCTGCAGCGAGGAGCCCCACCAGGGACTCCTGGGTGTTGAGCAGGGTCTTGCAGACATCCAGAGGGGTGGTGGCTGCAGCAGCGATTGCCCCGGCCAGGCCCCCAGACACCATGTGTGAGGAGGGGTTGTACTGTCTGTGGGGGTTGAGGAGCTCCTGGAGGGACTCGTAGGTCATGAAGTGGAGCACCTGGAAGGGGACGTTCATGGTGAGCTGTGTGGTGTAGGAGCGGTAGAAGGCTGCGGCGCCCTCATTCTGCCAAACGGCGCGCACACAGTCCATCACACCACGGTATGGAGAGTTATACATCTGCAAACGCTGCTTCACCACTGGACAGGGAGAGAGAGAGGGGGGGGGGGGGGTGGATGCAGAGGGAGAAAAACAGACGGAAGGAGAGACAGAGGAATAGCCAGACGAGAGGAAGAGAATGGGGGAAAGACAGATGAGAGCAGTATAAAGGAAAAAATAAGGGAATGTGAGGCAGAGAGGAAGGAAGGATGGATAGGTGAGTAAAGAGGAGGAGGGGAGGGGAGGATTGGAGGGATGGAAGGAAGGATTGGCAGGTGTGTTTCCATCATTAGGGACCAGGAACATAGTCCAGAGGATAAAAAAGAAAGACAAAAATTATTGACCAGATAAATAAAAAAAACTGCACAGTCATAACATCCTCCAAGGCTGAGGAGGGCATTAGGATGTTAAGATTAATTAAGACATTCACAGAGATTTATTTAGGCTGCTGAAGTTCAAAGCAGTGACCCAGGTGTTACCTTGGAATCTGAGACTAGCACCTATGTCCCTGGCCTCCACCCTACACAGCTGCCTGAGGATCACCTGTCCAGGCATGTCAGTGGAAGGATACCCATCAAAGTCCTCTCTAGTCTACAGCTGATGGTTGGGTTCAGTACAGAGGGGACAGGACCCCAAGGGAGCATCTTTCTCCACATCTCCCCTCCTCCTCCCTCTCAACCCTGCTCGCTCCCTTCATCTTTATCCCAGTATCCATTGCTCTTTCATTCTAGGCCCTGCTCCTCCCCACCACCTTACCCTCTTTCTCTCTGTCTCCCCCTCCACCCTGCCCTCCCCACCCTAGCGAGCAGTGCAGAGTAAACAGGCTAGGCCCTTGAGGAGGCCCTAGGAGCTACAGCTGCAGAGGGAGCTCTGATACAGCAATTTATCTGCAGCAAATAACGTCTCAGTCACCTGAATACACACCATGTGTGAGATCGAGAAAAACAGGTTTAAGAGAGGGAAAGATACAGATTTATAGATGGATAGATTTACCTTCAGATGGGTTCATGGCTGCGTCATGAAGCAATGTGGCCACACACCCCGCCGCACCTGTAACACATACACACCTCAATGGTGAAAAACAACGAGAGAGAGAGAGAGACTTGGTGGAGAACAAAGACCAGAGTGAGAAAAGGAGAGTAGAGAAGAGGGAGAGAAGGAAAGATGAAAGGAGAGACAATGAGAGAGGGGTGAGGAGAGGCCAGATGACTGAAAATGCTCTAGTTCTCCCTAGTGGTAAAACAGGCCATCACCACTCCTGCTGGACCAGAGTCAAACATCCCTTCATCTACTGGGCAGGTCTTACCCTGCCTCTCCCCTGACCTGGAAACGAGGGAGGAGGGAAGATGAGACAGACAGCTGACCTGGAAAGAAGGGAAGAGAAAGAAAGAGCAGAGAACAGATACAGGGATAAATAGAGCAAGCATCTCTAGTACTAGCTTTTTCTGAGCAAACAGTGTTTCAATTTTCTTGTCGTGCAAATTAGGGCTGTGCAAGGTTATTTGAATACTCAAATGTCCGAACGGACGTTAGTATTCGAATACTTGTGTGAGTATTCATGTGCGAGAGCGATGGATAAGGCTTTTTCTAAATTAAACTAAAATATCCATGTGGCATTGTTACATACAAGGATATACACTCACTGGAGAGTTTATTAGGTACACCACCCCGTTCATGAGTGACGTGGCAGTGGCTTGTTATATAAAGCAGGCAGACAACGACGCATTCAGTTACTGTTCGATTGAACGTTAGAATAGGCTAAACGAGTGACCTAAGAGACTTTGAGCGTGGGTGGAATGATCGTCGGTGCCAGGCGCGCCAGATCCAGTATCTCAGAAAGGACCGACCTCCTGGGCTTTTCACGCACTACAGTGTCTAGGGTTTACCGAGAATGGCGCAACAAACAAAAAAACATCCAGTCGGCGGCAGTCTTGTGGGCGAAAACAGCTCGCTGATGAGCGAGGTCAAAGGAGAATGGCAAGAATCGTGCTAGCTAACAGGTGGGCCACAAACAGACATAACGGCGCGGTACAACAGTGGTGTGCAGAAGGGCATCTCGGAACGCACAACTCATTGATACGGATGGGCTATTGCAGCAGACGACCACACCGCGATCCACTCCTATCAGCTAAAAACAAGAAGAAGCGGCTCCAGTGGGCACGCGATCACCAACACTGGACAATTGACGAGTGGAAATACATCGTCTGGAACATGACAGAGAGTTCAGTTTACTTGAGCGGCCTGCGCAATCCCCAGACCTCAACCCAATAGAGCATTTTAGGGATGAGATGGAACGGGCTTTTCGAAGCATGAATGTACCGCCGTCCAATCTGCAGCAACTGCGTGATGCCATCGCGTCAGCATAGACCAACATCCCTGTGGAACGTTTCCGTCAGATTGTAGAATGCTCTGAAGAATTCGGGCTCTTCTAGATGCAAAGGGGGTCCGACCCGGTACTAAACTCAGCAAAAAAAGAAACGTCCCTTTTTTAGGACACTGTCTTTCAAAGATAATCCGTAAAAATCCAAATAACTTCACAGATCTTCATTGTAAAGGGTTTAAACACTGTTTACCATTATTGTTCAATTTTACATTTACATTTAAGTAATTTAGCAGACGCTCCTATCCAGAGCGACTTACAAATTGGTGCATTCAACTTATGATAGCCAGTGGGACAACCACCCCCTTTTTTTCAATTTTATTTTTATGGGGGGGTGGGGGAGAAGGATTACTTTTATACTATTCCAGGTATTCCTTAAAGAGGTAGGGTTTTAAGTGTCTCCGGAAGGTGGTCAGTGACTCCACTGTCCTGGCGTTGTGGGGGAGCTTGTTCCACCATTGGGGTGCCAGAGCAGCGAATAGCTTTGACTGGGCTGAGCGGGAACTGTGCTTCTGTAGAGGTAGGGGGGCTAGCAGGCCAGAGGTGGATGAACGTAGTGCCCTCGTTTGGGTGTAGGGTCTGATCAGAGCCTGAAGGTAAGGAGGTGCCGTTCCCTTCACAGCTCCGTAGGCAAGCACCATGGTTTTGTAGTAGATGCGAGCTTCAACTGGAAGCCAGTGGAGTGTGCGGAGGAGCGGGGTGACATGAGAGAACTTGGGATGGTTGAACACCAGTTGGCTGCAGCGTTCTGGATAAGTTGTAGGGGTTTAATGGCACAGGCAGGGAGCCCAGCCAACAGCGAGTTTCAGTAATCCAGACGGGAGATGACAGGTGCCGCTTTCTGTGTAAGGTAGGGTCGTACTCTGCGAACGTTGTAGAGCATGAACCTGCAGGATCGGGTCACCGCTTTGATGTTAGCGGAGAACGACAGGGTGTTGTCCAGGGTCACGCCAAGGTTTTTTGCACTCTGGGAGGAGGACACAGCGGAGTTGTCAACCGTGATGGCGAGATCATGGAGCGGGCAGTCCTTCCCCGGGAGGAAGAGCAGCTCCGTCTTGCTGAGGTTCAGCTTGAGGTGGTGATCCGACATCCACACTGATATGTCTGCCAGGCATGCAGAGATGCGATTCAATTAACCATAAACAATTAATGAACATGCACCTGTGGAACGGTCGCTAAGACACTAACAGCTTACAGACGGTAGGCAACTAAGGTCACAGTTATGAAAACTTAGGACACTAAAGAGGCCTTTCTACTGACTCTGAAAAACACCAAAAGAAAGATGCCAAGGGTCCCTGCTCATCTGCGTGAACGTGCCTGAGGAATGCTGCAAGGAGGCATGAGGACTGCAGATGTGGCCAGGGCAATAAATTGCAATGTCCGTACTGTGAGACGCCTAAGACAGCCCTACAGGGAGACCTGCGGGACAGGTACAGGATGGCAACAACAACTGCCCGAGCTACACCAGGAACGCACAATCCCTCCATCAGTTCTCAGACTGTCGGCAATAGGCTGAGAGAGGCTGGACTGAGGGCTTGTAGGCCTGTTGTAAGGCAGGTCCTCTTGAAAAAGAAAAGGAGAGCCGCACACTCTAGGAGCTCAGATGCAATAATTTAATAACCAACGTATCAACAGACAAGCTGTCTTCATCAGGGTATAATGACAAACACTGCGGTTCACTAGTTTATAGAGTGTCAAAGGACACACACACAGGTGTCTGTAATCATGGCCGGGTGTGGCCTGATATCATTGGTTAAGTCACAGATAAACAACAAAAAACATGAATAGATAGCATACGATCATAGATACAACTTGGCTACCTAGGCCCAAAAACATTTACAATGAATAGCAAAATCATAATAATCACAAGAATGGCTTCAAATTAAAGTCTACGTTGAGACCGAAGGGAGCAAGGGTCTTTAAATTAAAGATCCAGGCAGCCCCTCGTTTTAACAATAAGTTATCGAGGTCACCCCCTCTCCTAGGGAGGGTGACCTGTTCAATGCCGATATAACGTAGGGACGAAATCGAGTGGTTCGCTTCCAAAAAGTGGGCAGCGACTGGGTATGTCAAGATTTTGCACCTAATGGTGCTACGATGCTCCGAGATTCGTACCTTTAATTTGCGCTTTGTTTTACCCACATAATTTTTACCACAAGGACAAGTTATAAGATAAATAACTGCCTTAGTGGAGCACGTAATAACACCTTTGATTGGGATCTGTTTCCCTGTTTGGGATTGTTTGAAGGATCTACATTTGTAAGTTCCATTGCATTGAGTGCAGCCATTACACTTCTAGTTTCCATCCGGTAGAGGCGCAAATAGACGTTGTGCAGGGATATTTAGGGGTGGTAAATCAGAGTTTACCAATTGATCTGAGAGTTCTGCCTGCAAGAATACAACCAAGGGAGGGTCCGAAAACACATTACCAATACTGTCATCTGATCTTAGAATGTGCCAATGTTTGTGAACGATTCCCTTAATTTATTCAGAGCACTTTGAATAGCGTGTAGTTATAACACAAGAATGCATCTTTTTGCGAGACTGTCCTTGAAAGAGATCAGGTTTCGATTTGTTTTGAATTTTCTCAATGGCAGCATTAAACTGACCATTTTTGTACCTCCTCTCCTTGAATTTTCTTTGTGTCTCAGCCATATTTCTGTTGAAATGTGATTGTTTTGGGCAAATTCTTTTGATTCGACAGAATTCGCTGTAGGGCAAACTGTTTTTCAAGGGAAGCGGGTGACAACTATCAGCCCTCAACAAACTGTTACGATCAGTAGGTTTCCTGTAAAGATCAGTGTATAGAACATTATCCTCACACGGCCGCCCAACAACCTGCCCGCTTGACCCTATCTTCTCCTCTTCTCCAGACCATTTCCGGAGACCTTCTCCCTTACCTCACCTCGCTCATCAACTCATCTTTGACCGCTGGCTATGTCCCTTCCGTCTTCAAGAGGGCGAGAGTTGCACCCCTCCTCAAAAAACCTACACTCGATCCCGCCGATGTCAACAACTACAGACCAGTATCCCTTCTTTCTTTTCTCTCCAAAACTCTTGAGCGTGCCGTCTCTAGCCAACTCTCCTGCTATCTCTCTCAGAATGACCTTCTTGATCCTAACCAGTCAGGTTTCAAGACTGGTCATTCAACTGAGACTGCTCTTCTCTGTGTCACAGAGGCTTTCCGCACTGCCAAAACTAACTCTCTCTCCTCTGCTCTCATCCTTCTAGACCTATCTGCTGCCTTTGATACTGTGAACCATCAGATCCTCCTCTCCACCCTCTCCGAGTTGGGCATCTCCGGCGCTGCTCACTCTTGGATTGCGTCCTACCTGACATGTCGCTCCTACCAGGTGGCGTGGCGAGAATCTGTCTCCGCACCACGTGCTCTCACCACTGGTGTCCCCCAGGGCTCAGTTCTAGGCCCTCTCCTATTCTCTCTATACACCAAGTCACTTGGCTCTGTCATATCCTCACATGGTCTCTCCTATCATTGCTACGCAGACGACACACAATTAATTTTCTCCTTACTCCCTTCTGATAACCAGGTTGCGAATCGCATCTCTGCATGTCTGGCAGACATATCAGTGTGGATGTCAGATCACCACCTCAAGCTGAACCTCGGTAAGACGGAGCTGCTCTTCCTCCCGGGGAAGGACTGCCCGCTCCATGATCTCGCCAGTGCGGTTGACAACTCCATTGTGTCCTCCTCGCAGAGAGCAAAGAACCTTGGCGTGACCCTGGAAAACACCCTGTCGTTCTCTGCTAACATCAAAGCGGTGACCCTATCCTGCAGGTTCATGCTAACATCAAAGCGGTGACCCGATCCTGCAGGTTCATGCTCTACAACGTTCGCAGAGTACGACCCTACCTTACACAGAAAGCGGCACAGGTCCTAATCCAGGCACTTGTCATCACCCGTCTGGATTACTGCAACTCGCTGTTGGCTGGGCTCCCTGCCTGTGCCATTAAACCCCTACAA